CTCCTCCTCCTCTGTCCGAGGCTGGTGTGGTGTGAGGCGGACAGCTCAGCTGAGGCTACTGGAGCTGGAGCTCAAGGTCCTGACCCAGGGCGCCAACATGAGTCAGTCCCAGACTGAGCTGACTTGATCAAGTCTCTCTCTGCCTCTGGTGAGGATGGGGGTGAAAATCCTCCACCTCAGACCGTTCAGAGATGTAACTACTGTATCTGTGATACTGTGGTCACTCTCCATGTAGCATCAATTATGCTAATGCTAGCTGCCTGTCGCGTTCTCTCGTCCTAGCCACACCTCCGCTCTCTAACCCCCCTCCCCTGCACACACCCCTCCCCCATCCACTTTGATGCAAGGAGTTATCTTTTCATGGGGGGGGGGGGGTACACTTTAAAGAGTTCCCCTTTGATGTCACTTCCTGTTTCACTTTGGCTGAGCCAAGTTCAAGAGAAATTATGCCAGTTATGGGACAAAATGGGTTAAACTGTGTGTATTATTCCAACTTTCTTAAATACAAAGATGTTTTCTTTGACTTTTTGTATTTGAAGAATATGCATGTCACAGGCGCTTTAATATCGATGCCTCTCTCTCTCCACTTTGCAGAAACCGGCAGACATCTGCAAAATGATCGGCCTCTGCAGCTCCAGCGACCAACAGGAGAAAATGCTCAGCTACTTTGTTACTGAGGCTCTTCAGGCTGCGGTGAAAAGTGAAAATGTCAGTCATGTTTAGAGGCTCAATAAAAGGGATGGAAGGGGGGTTTAAACAAACAAAATAACTCCTGCTGTTTGTTTTGTCCGTCAGGGAAAGCCTGAAAGCACGTGCTCATTCTGCATTTTCCTCGTCAAGACTTTGGAAGATCTGCTGCCCAAAGAGAGGACCGAGGTGAAGAAACGGGGCTTTGAAACAACAGTTTGTGCTTCAGCTCACATTCATATTTGTTTACATACCGCTTGTTCCTTCTGCAGGACGCTGTGATCAAACTGCTGGATGAAATCTGTCACATTCTGCCGTCGTCCTATCGCGGCCAGTGCGAGGCAATTATCGACAAATTCACCAAGCCGGTGCTGGATGCAATTATCAGCTACGCCACCCCCGAGGCCATCTGTGCCCTCATCCACTTGTGTAAAGGGCAGGAGGCTCTAGTTGTGGGTCAGTCCTCATTTTCTTATTTTAATTTTATTTTTTCGGGGGATACTCAGAAGCTGTAAGACTGAGGGGTTCGATCAAATCAAGGTCACCAGAGCCAAGAAAAATTGTGAAAAACAAACATTTTTTGTAATTTTTATAGTGGAAATTAGAGCACTGACATAATTTCTTTGTTGAAAGGCTCATCAGTTTAGAGACTAACTTTAGTTTTGTGATTTGAACTTGCAGACCCGTGCACGCTGCCTCTGTACAGGTGCAGAGACATCCGGACTGCCCTCACATGTGGAGTAAGTTCCCAGCTCCTAAACTTCAAACTACCAGTTTGAATATGTTGACTTTTAGCCTGATCTCTCCCTGCAGACTCTTTTCTACTGTCAGAAGTTCACCTTGAAGCCTCTGAGCAACAATCTCATTTAAAAGGTTTCGGTAAGTCTAATAAAAAAGGAGAATTTTGGTTAAACGTGTTAAAACAAACACTAAAATATTTCCATACTTTTCTTACAGGTCTGGATGAAGAACCTGAATCAAGCTGCAAATATTTTTCAATGAATGCATTTCGTATCTTACTGCATTTTATGGTTTTGCTTGATATATTATCTGCATGGGGGAAAACAAATCCACCAAAAGGAGTATCTGGATTTGAGCTGTAAAGGAATGCTACAAAGATACGACTGTTTTACTAAATTCTTCATGTTAAAACAGAGCAAACATAACATTTTTTGTACCTATGAGCTTTTATTCTATTTATCGAGTTCACTAGTTTCTGTAAAGTGCTTTGTTGTAATCTTCTGCACACAGTTATATCAAATAAAATATGTGAGGAGGCCGGAATAAAACAGTTTCTTATGAATGAATCTATAAGCCCAGTTCACAGATTTGTTCTTCTGAAAAGGAAGAGAGATGAAGAATTGTTGAACTTTAATGGTTTTGTGAACATAAAGAGGGTTTTTTACAGTTATGATTATTATTTTTGAAGTAAAAGTACAAAAGTCAAAAGTGTTTCAACCAACACAAAAGCAGAAGTAATAGCAAAACCCAGAAAAGGCGCTATTTTTTTTCTGACTTAGGGTTTATTTTCTGCTTGAGGAAGTGATCTTCTGTCCCACTTCTGCTTTTACATGGTCTTTCTGGTATGTTTTTCATCTACGACTCATCAAAAAGGACAGCACATGAGCATAAAGCAGGAGGGGAGTTTTTATTCCAGCAGCTTAAAAAGAAAATTTAACAACAACCCAGGTCAGACTCAACAGCAATTATTGAATAGTCATATAGGAAAGTGTGAAATGGTAAGGAGTGTGAATGAAAAGGCACTTTCTACATATTTAAAACGACTCACTTTCAGCTCTACAGACCATGTAAACAGGCTGGTTTCTCTGTACAACACCAACCGATTATTTGTCTGAGCTGTGGGTGAGCTGGAGGACGCAAACACACTGTAAAATAATCTATGTTTAAATAATATCATTAAATAACTCCAAACTGGGTTGAGGGCTCTGAAGTGAACTAAGTTGCTGTTGTAATACACATTAAGAACCACAGGGTGGGGCTAAAGAAGCAAAAAAAAAAACATATTTTTTATGGTGACACAGTGCCACCTAGTAGGATGGGGAATAACAGCACAAAACAATTAAAATTTTTTTTTTAGTAAATATAGTGGGCATTGTTTGATTCAGGAGGAAAGTTACTGAGTGCAACATTTGCGCATCAACTGTGCCTTTCATTAATATTTTTTTAATCTTAGCAACCTTAGCAAACCCTGAGGAGTTTCTATGAACTAAAGGAAAAAAAATCGAATAAACCAAACTGAAAGAGCAAACATTATTTAAAAGTAAAGCTAAGCAGTAAGATAAATATTCGTCTCAGATCAGAAGCTCGTTCCATTTTTGGTAACTCTACAAACGACGAGAGCAAAAAATACATTCACTTCACTGACTCTGCTCTTCGTCCTTCATTTCCATTCATTTTATGTCCAAGTCAGACCGACAAAGTGAGAAAACTAAATTCCTTCCTCTGCTTGACAAACTGTTAGGTCCCACAGTAGTCAAATGTTTTGTAAACAATCGACCCACATGATTACAATGAGATAATGGGAGCTCGTCTTTGAATGACTCACCAGAAAAAAAAAAAAAAGATATTTTTCTTGGTCAGAACATGGACACAATAAATCATAATTTAGAACAAATCCTACAAAATAAATTACATTTAAAAAAATCCAGAAGTCATGACGCAGTCCAACAAAACCATAAGAGCATTAGCAGCTTCTGACTTCTCTGTAAAACGTCAGAAAAACAATGGTTTGAAAAGACTGCATCACAAATAAACCAGACCGGTTTGACTTGGTTGTACCATAAATACTTTAAATACACACAGAACCAGGAGTGTGCTGTTTTCTTAAATAGAAGATGACATTTTGCTACTGGAGGAGAACAAGACAGAATGTGGGAACCTGCTCACGTCTACACATGCACTGCAGAAAGCCTAGATGTTTAATACAGCTTACTGCGCAAAGAGTTCAAAATCTGTCATAAATAGAGTTGTAACATACTGACTGGAAAAAGGCTAACATAACTGAGGGTGCTGTGATGTAACTACGCATGAGGAAGAAAAGGGGATGAAGAGGAGAGAACGGAGAGGACAAATAGTTTTATGTGCAGGACACCTGACAGGTACCAGCGGAGAACAGGGCTTCAGTATTTCAGCTTCTTGGGGATCTCCCATGGAAAGATGTCCCGACCAAAGTGTCCGTAAGATGCTGTACGCTGGTAGATGGGCTTCTTCAGGTCCAGATCCCTTAGAATAAAAATAAATATGTGAATAGTACAACAAAACATAACAACAAATAAGATACATCTACAGTGGCATCAGGCTCTCTGGTTAAGAAGTATTTGTCTTTCAGCTTAAACTCAACCTCCACACATTCCTCTTATTTTAATTTTATTCAATTATCAGAAGCAGAAGAGATAAGATAAAATAAATCTTTAGTCATTGTTGCACTGAAAAGAACATTGCGGTCCACAGACAATGAGAAACAAAATAATTTTGCAGCTCCCGTAGTGCGAATAAATCAGGACATTAAAAAAAGATAAAATAAAGAGGTAAAAATAGAATAAAAAAGATAAAATAAGATAAAAAAATGTTAAAAAAAAACAATAGTAAGAACTGTTTAAGAACAGTACCTTAAAAATGTTGCTTTCCTGCCCAGGCTGCTTTCTGAGGATCTGTTATTTTAGTTTTAATGAGACTAATAATAATTGGGACGAGATCTGATGAGTCAGAATATTTATAAAGCTTCATAATCTGCATCACTTGACCTTCTAAATGTCAGAGCTCTAATTTGCAGAGGTTTTCAAAAACAATACAAACAAAAAAAATGCAATCACCTCGACTGAAAGGATTGTTTCATCTTTAGCAGAACACTAATTTCCTTTCATTTTTGCGTGTTACAATAGGAGTCAGTTTACCTCACAATGACTCCTGGACGGAGGTCGAAGTTCTTCATCACGATGTCCAGCAGCTCTTTTTCAGTCTTCTGGGAGGTCCCATAGTGGAAGATGGAGACAGAGAGAGGATGGGACACACCGATAGCATATGACACCTACAACAAGAATTACAGATTAGTAGTCTAGAATATCAGGCCCATTTTAAATCTCAAGTCTTTGTTTTTAACAGGGTTAGGGTTCTGATATCTCCTTTAACTCAATTACATATCAAAAACTACAATTTTTTTTGTTTATTTCTTTATTAACAGAGTATATGAAAGGCTTTATTGTCACTGCGCAAAAAAAATAATGAAATATACACTGTGCTGTCCTGAGTAAACAAACAAGACATAAATAAAACACAATGACGGTTAAACATTTACTCCCACACGCTGCTTCCATGTACACCATCCATCATGTGTTCTCACCTGGACCAAGACCCGTCTGCAGAGTCCAGCCTTAACAAGAGATTTAGCCACCCAACGTGCGGCATAAGCTGCAGAGCGGTCCACCTTCGTGTAGTCCTTTCCAGAAAAAGCTCCACCTCCGTGCGCTCCCCAGCCCCCATAGGTGTCCACAATGATCTTACGCCCAGTCAGGCCAGCATCGCTCTTTGGAAAAATAACCCACACTTTTGTTCCCTTTGAGTCGAGCATTTTAAATTGAAATCTAAACACCGTAAAAAAATAACTATATGTAGAAAATACACAGAATGTAAAACGTCTGAATGTTTTAAATGCTGGAGTAATATGCAGAAACGAACGTCTGCACGTGCTCCCTCTCTCACCTGTGGCCCTCCGATGACAAAGCGACCGCTGGGCTGCAGGTGGTAGATTGTATCGTCATCGAGGTAACAGGCAGGAACTACGGCTTTCACCACCTGCTCCTTCAGACAGTGACGCATCTCCTCCAGGCTTACACACTCGTCATGCTGCACGGAGATAACGATGGTGTGGACGCGCAGCGGCACCACAGCTCCTCTGTCCTGCCGGTACTGAACGGTCACCTGCATGGAAAAGATGTGAGTTTAAAGTTGCCCCACAGGTTTCAATTCTTTAGCGAGAGGATCAATACCCACGTAATGTGACTTATAACTAAGGCGTTCATTCAAAGGGGAATTTTAAAAGTGGTGATATAGTTAGTTTAGTTTATTCATTTATTTAAAAACAACATAAATTCAACAAACAATAAAAATACAAATCATAAATTAAATGAAAGGTAGCAGAAGAAAAAAATCTTATATGTACCCCTTTTTCTCAAATAAATAAATTCAATCAAAAATAATATTTAGTTTATAAAAAATAAGAAAAATAACAAAGGTTTGACTCCTTGAACAACAATTCATACATTTACATATTTCTCCAGCAAATTAACCTTTATCATTGCCTTAAATATACTCATTGATCTGGCATTTTTAAGGTCATCTTCCAGATTATTCCATCTTAAACCCTGGACTGAAGTACTCCGTTCCTTTAAACTGGTTCTAAATTTGGGTTTAACAGATATCTTTATCCCTTTGAGATTATAACAACTCTCTCTTTTAACAAAGTGTAATTGAATGTTTGAAGGTAATGTGTTTTTATGAGCCCTGTACATAACTGATAAAATACCATAATTAACCAAATCATTGAATTTCAATAACTTCAACTGAAGGAACAATGTATTTGATGGGTGATAATAATGCTTTCTGATGATAATCCTTACTTCTCTTTTTTTTGTAAAACAAAAATTGGGTTTGTAATTGTTTTGCATGACTTACCCCAAACATCAATACAGTAGATTAAGTGTGGAACAATTATTACATTATATAACATAAACAGAGCTTTATCATTAAATAAATCCTTTACTTTGTACAATAATGCATTGGATTTGGCTATTTTTGTTTTTAAATGATTTATATGAGGTCTCCATGTCAGCTTTTTACGGAGCCCGCCGGGGGTCAGTGGTGAAAAAAGAAAAACMGCCGCCGGAAATCTGTGCGCACGGATTGCTAAACTGAGAGCACAGATTAGTAATCCGTGCGCACGGATTACTAATCTGTGCTCTCAGTTTTTGCAATCTGTGCGCACGGATTACTAAACTGAGAGCACGGATTACTAATCTGTGCGCTCAGTTTCTGCAATCAGTGCGCGCAGATTGTGTCGACAGGTTGGACGCATGGTGTGTGTTGTACAATCTGTTTTGTTGTTTCCGGTTTTATTGTGAAAGGCTAAACAGGAAGTGAATACTGAGAGTGCGGGGACAACTTGTCGTTTCGGGTTTAGGTGTCGCTCGAATCCTCAATTGCCTCAGAACACAACCGTATGAAGCCGCATCTTCAAGGTAAATTCAGTGGATCTGTTGTTATATAAACTTAAGGCACTGTCGTGTTCTCATCAACACACTTTTTAGCCACAGAATGTCCCTGAAAAATTCATCAAAATCCGACGTGGTTATTTATTTATTTTTCATATTTTCCAGGHAAATGAATCCTGAAACGGAGGTTATAACGGAGGTTTCTTAACTGATTTATATGATATAATATTATCAATAATTATTATTAAATTAAATTAAATTATTATTATTAATTATTATAATTATACAATAATTATAATTATTATTATTATATTATTATATAATATCATTTATATCATATAACCCTGAGAAGGCAGCTGGATAACTTTAGCAAAACTTCCCTGTTGTCAGGGAAACTGTAAACATCCGGTAACCACGGGCAGAAAGGCTCCGAGCAGCTTCCTGTGATGATCCGATCAGAGCTGAAACAGCCTTTAGGAGACCCAGGACCAAAACTGCCTGATAGAGGGACAAAAACTGTACAACATACTCAAAGTCCAACATTTTCTGTGCTGTACTTTGACTTTAGTGAACAAAAAAACGCTCCTTAAACACTTTCTGAGCTGATGAACGACAGTTCACACAACCACGTCCAGATGTCAGTAATCCGTGCGCACGAATTGCAGAAACCGTGAGCTCAGTTTACTAATCCGTTCGCTCAGTTTAGTAATCCGTGCTCACAGTTTACTAATCCGTTCGCTCAGTTTAGTAATCCGTTCGCTCAGTTTAGTAATCCGTTCGCTCAGTTTAGTAATCCGTTCGCTCAGTTTAGTAATCCGTTCGCTCAGTTTAGTAATCCGTGCTCACGGATTTCCAGCGGCTGTTTTTTTTCTCCCACTGACCCCCCGCGGGTTCCGTAGCTTTTCATCTATGATGACACTCAGAAACATCACCTCACTGACTCTTCAGATCTCAACACCATCAACTCTAAATGGAATATCAGTTTTCTTTTCTATTACTGAATATCATACAACTAGTCTTATCTAAATTTAATGATAATTTATCTAGTTTAAACCAGGTTTGTATTTTAGAAAATTCTACCTGCATCATTTCCAACATCTGTTCTATATTTTTACCAAAACAAAAAAAAATGTAGTATCATCTGCAAATAAAACCCATTTGAACAACCCTGACACATTTACCAAATCATTTACGTATAAAATAAACAACTTTGGTCCAAGCACAGAACCCTGAGGATCCCCACATGTAATACTACTTAATTCAGATCTTGTTTATTTGTACAAAATGTCATTAATATCAAAATGATGTTAAGTTTTTTTAAAGGTTGGTGTGCTGAAGGACCTTTTCCTCATCTGACCTGAGTTTTGGAATCGGGTCGGATCCAGGGCAGCGATCCGTCTCGGCGCAGTTCAGCCATCTTGGCATTGAGCTTATGAGCCAGAACGATGGTGAGGGGCATACACTCCTCGGTCTCATCGGTGGCGTATCCAAACATGAGACCCTGTTGGGGAGGTGCAGCGACCAGTCACAGGATACACGAGATCAAAAATAAGACCATGGGTTAATGGAGACCTTCATCCGTGATGTCATGCATTTCATTTACATACATTATCTGCCGCTCTCTCAAAAGATCGGACAACCAGAGAGGATTCTACAGAGGTTCAGTGTTAATGCCGTAACAGAGAAAGACATTCCTAAAGCGTATTTCAACCTCTGACTTCAGGAATCACAAGGAAGTTCAATTAAAAGGTTGGTCAAGGGCTTCGACAGACTTATAAAGCAAGCTGATTTTTTTAAGAACTTTGGTCTTTTTACTGGTGTCTTATAGCTTAGCTTGTCGCATCTAAATGTTACCTAGCATCTAAGCTCTGAAAAAGTGACAAAAATAGTCCTTCCAGGTGAGGATGATGGCTGTATCCTGAGTCACTGTTACACAATATAACTGTAGCACAATGTTTTGTGGTCCTCCTGGCGGAGTTTGACGCTGTTTTCCTGAATTTATTTAAGTTTAAAAACAGCTAAACCAGCGCAGCTCCATTGAAATAAATGGATCAAATATATACGTGCATCAGTGTCGAGCCAACGTAGTCACACGACTGGTGTTCTAAAAATAGCCTGAGTGAAGATCCCCATTCTATATTTCTGGTTTCACTCGTCAATCGAACACAAACCTGGTCTCCAGCTCCAACGTCCTCTTCTTTACGGTCGAGGTAAACACCCTGAGCGATGTCAGGAGACTGCTGCTCAAGAGCCACCAGAACGTTGCAGGTCTTATAATCAAAACCTGTGTAAAAAAATGTTATTTTAAAAAGCGATAAACAATCACAAAAGGGATGCTACATAGTGTTCTGTTTCTATTAGCTACATAAAGCATTCTTCACACTTATATTTTGGAAATTTCATTTGTGCAGTCACTGATCCTTTAGGTTAACATTCACACTGCAGGTCTTAATGCTCAATTTAGATTTTTTTTTTTGCAAAAATCTTATTTTTTTTTTTTGCATGGACGTTCACGATATTTTAAATGCGACTTCCATCGACTCCAGTCCGAACCTCTCACAGCACTGACGTGACCCGCATGCGCAGAAAAAGACGTGACGTCACATTCAGCTCGCTGTTTACAGACATAGCCTATGGATGCTATAAGTTAGCGTGTCGATTGTGAAGTTTGTGTGCAATCAAAGCCAATTAAAGATTTATCTGACATGCTCATTTAATTCACTGTTTACATTTTTACCATATTCTGGTAGGCTGCTCGGGTGAAGCATTTTATTGTTGGAACGAAGTGATGCGCTAAAAGTTAAACATAGATCCAGTAACTAGGGGTGCAACATTGCATGTACCCGTATCGAACCGTATCGAGCAGTGCTGTATCGAACAATACAGATTTTAAAAATTTACTTTATCAACTTGTCTTCTGAAAATGCTCTGTGTTAAAGGATCAGTGGATCTGTGTTCGACTACTCCACCTAGGCTGCCTTTTTGAGCGCAGGTCCACTGAGAAACTTGCTGTTTCAGCAACATTTAATTTAAAAACTGTATTTTTAAGGTTAAACAAATGTTCATAGTTAATATAAATAAATTACACGTTAAAAGGGGCATGGAAATTTCTCTTTTTTTGTATCGAAAAAATATCGAACCGTGAGACTAAAGTATCGAACCGAACCGCGAATTTCCTGTATCGTTGCACCCCTACCAGTAACAGTACGGTCCGAGACCAATGTTTCTCAGTCATCCAGGACATGGAAAATTAAAAGAACAAAGAAGAAGCAACTGGACTTCTGTTCTGATTTAAACTGCACAAGTTGGTATAGATATTCTAAGTACTTGGATTGATCCACCTCAATGAAGTAAAAGTCAAAGGAAATGCAAGACAAGCGTTCAAACTAAGGTCCCTTTGAAAAATATCAGGGGACGGATTTATAAAACTGGCGTACGCACAATTTGAGCCCAGAAACTTGCGTACGCCACTTTTTACGC